GTAGTTCATTTCTTCCTCTCTTCTCCCTTTAGTCTGAAGAAACTGCTGCCTACATCCCTCAAAGGTTTAAAGTATGAAATCCTTCCAAAGGGTACGATACTACTCAGAAAGGATAAACTGATTCTTTGAGCCTTCACTTCACTACCCTATGGCTCTTAAAGTTACTGGTACTGGCGATGTTAGTTCAAGCCTGACCACAGCCTTTCCCAGTATGTCTTTTCAGAATAGCTGACTCCTTGAAAAACATTACTTCACAGATCAACATAACTAGACAGTTGAGGACTACAACTATTTAAAAAGAAATCAATAAATTTATAATTTACATGATCTAAAGCAGAGCTGTTATAGTGGATGAACCAAGAATTTTTCTCCATCTTTTAGTAATTTATAGAAGTGATGAACACAAGGGAAAGAGAAGAGGCCTTGATGTATGTTTTCTAGGACTTTTAGAAAATACGGAGTTGTTCCCTTGGACATGTACATGTGAATCTATAAAAAAAAAAAATGTTACTGTGTTCCCTTAGCCAAATACATGTGAATCTATAAGAAAAAATGGTATTGTACACATCTAAAACAGATATTGTTGAAAAAGTAATATCACAAATGTTAGTGTAGCAAAAGTAGAAAAGTCTGTCGTGCTACTTGGTACTATTCTGTTGACATTTTTATAAACAAGGGCAAGATTCTTGCCAAGAAAATTAATGTGTATATTGAGCATTTCCAGCATTTTTAAGAGCCAGAATAGCTTTCTGAAATGCATGCAGGAAAATGATTAGAAAACGGAAACCAAACAGAAAGGTACCCGAGTTCAGCTGAAGAACAGACTTGTACCACCCAGAGTAGTAACACTTTGTAAGGAGCAGTAGAAAGTAGTCTGGACTGCTGGAACCTGCTCCCTATAAATTCATGGTCTGATATTTAAAAACAAAACCAAATGGTCTCCATTATGAAAATAATCAATACACTGTACTTAAAGTATAAGGGAACATATTACAGTGGTAAGATGAAATAAGATCTTAAAATCATAAGACCAGAATCAAATAGAAATATTAGACAAACTTAGTTGAAATGAAGAATAAAACAAATATAAACAGGGTGATCAGAGTGAATCAATTGAAAGATTTAATAGATGCTTTCAGAAAGAAACAGGAGAAATAGGCAAAGAGATAGAAAATGTAAAAGAAAAACTGAGGGATAAGGAGATTAGTTGTACAAATGCCAACATCTTGGAGTTCTGGGGAGAGACAAAAATAAAAATTTAAGAAGGTCAAATAATTAAATAATGAAATAATCTAGATAAATGTACCAGAATTCAAAATGATGAAAGGATTCAGTTGGTGAAGGAGCTCATGGCATAACAATTTAGACAAAGGGAAACTGCATACTTTGGGCATGTTAAAATATAAGAACATTAATACATAGAGAAAACTCTGAAAGATTTCAGAGAAAGGGTAAATGTTTATCAAATAGTTTAGTAGCAGTAATGAATGGGAAAAGATAGTAAAGTAAAAACTACCCAAAGAAAACAACTTTGAATCAAATAATTTAAACCCTCCTCTCAGATGTGAATGAAGTAAAATATTCTCAGGCCTATATGTCTCGAACTTTGCCGTTTAAAGACCCATATCAGAAAACTATTTGAATGCAGGACTCAATCAAAAATATAACTAGAGACTTTATAAATCTTTGATAAATCCTAATCAGAAATTACTGTTTCCTAAAGAAAAACACTAGGACCAAAATTCAAGCTAATGGAACTGTTGGGGTAAGGAGAATGGGATGCTATATATTAGGAACTCTCTACAGGAGTCCTGGTTGTCTAGGTCTGTGTACTGTATTTGATGCATTGGGCTTTTTCTTGACAGTGGTTTGTTTTAATATGAACCTGGGATGGGGATTTAGCTCAGTAGTTCTGCCACCTGCCTTGCAAGCACAAGGACCCAAGTTCTAACCTCAGTACAAAAAAGAAAAAAAAAAGAAACTAAATCTTTTAATATGAACCTATCTACTGACTCAAGATTCTTCAAAATTTCTTACCTGCTGATGATATACTGTCTTTTGTGGTACTATTTGTTTTTCTTTTTGCTGTGGATATCTTCTACTAAATTGATTGTTTGAAGGAAGGAGGATATTATAGTTTGTGTTTAGTTTGCTATCTGAAACCAAAAGGCCCAACTTTTATACTGTTTCATAAAAAACTTCCGGCCGGGCATGGTGGCGCATACCTGTAGTCCCAGCACTTCGGAGGCTGAGGCAGGAGGATTGCTGTGAGTTTGAGAACAGCCTGGGCTACATAGTGAATTCCAGGTCAGTCTCAACTACATAGTGAGACCTTGTCTGAAAAAAACCAAAAAAAACCAAAAAAAAAAAGAAAGAAAAGAAAAGAAAAAGAAACTTCTGTTAGTAAAACTTAAAGTATAAAATGCCAACTAATGCTAGACATATATATGAAAGAAATGGATGTGATTTTTCTGCATTGCAATTTTCTTTAATATGAATACATAAAAGTAAGTGGAGATTTTATGCATTCATATTAGAAGATTTCTTCCCCCTTTATGCATTATTAAAGAGGCAACAAATTAGATTTATAGTATCACAGCAATGGATATTTAATATTTTCTTCAAGAAATCTAGATTGCCTTTGTTGTTTTAATTTTTTACTTTCATTGGTATGTTTGCAGTATATAATAATTACATTCATTGTGGGTAGTTGGTACATGTACATAACACTTCTTAATTCTTTCCACTCCCTTCCTCTCTTAGATTGTCTTTGAAGATAATATGGAATTTTTATTTTTGGTTTGTTTTTATTAAAATGTCATTTGAATCATTACCATAGAATGGATAAAAGCAGGAATCAAGTAAAATTTGTAAAACTTAGGCAAAAAGTCACTAGCATAATTACATTCAGCTTAAGTTTGAATTAACACTTTCCCCCAGCTTTAGGAACTTCTTAGATAGTAAGTTTTCATTTTTATTTTTTTCTAGAAACAATCTAAAATACTTTAATATTAAAAAACTGCTCAGTTTTAGTTTAATAATTAATGTGACAGCACAATGACTTGTGAAGCTTTTTTTTAGTGCCTATAAACCTGTTTTTAATCCATCTAAATAGCAGCATTCTAACTATTAATGTAAAATTTTGTCATAAGAAATTTGTATTTTAATTTGACATTTTTTTAGTAAAAGCATTATATATTGGAGGGGAAATTATTATATAATAGAAACTAAAAGTACTTTAAGAACACTCCGTCTTTCCTAACAGTTTTTGTAGTTTGGCATATGTTTTTTGGTACTTTATTCACATGCAAATATGTTTTACAATAAAAGCATTTTTCCTATATTAAAGGAACTGCAAACTAGAGTTAATAGAAATTTTGTATCTTTTTTTTTTTTTTTTT